TGTTTAATCCATCTTATGAATTTTGCTAAAAAATTTGTTTTCAACACTTCAATAATAAAGTCTAGTCACAGTTCTAAAAAACTTTCTAGAAATACACTTTAATTTTGAACGTAGACTAAAATTGATAGACTTGGGATCAACTATCAAGCAATCCAAAGCACGTCTATTAGAGATAGATTTACCTCAAGAATTATCTAGTAGTATAGTCATGATGATTCTTGTTTCATAGAGATTATTTTGGTGAAAATTTTAAAAATACTATTTAGAAAATTGGTGGGCCTAAAATATATGATTAATTAACATAAATTAAGAAAATAACAGGCAAACTCGCTCTAACAAGAGAAGCTTTACTATTATTTATATTATTGAATATAGCCATAAGATCTAAGTGGATAGCATCCGACAAATCCTAAAAAGACTTTAGATAAAGCCCATTAGGGTTCGGAGATTTGCTAACTCCAAGGGAAAAGACAAAATTTAATCTATCCTGAGTGCAAGGATCACCAGATCTGATAAAGGGCTCATTATCACGAGGATATAATTGATGAAAGTCAACATGTTTATTAACACTTTAGTTGTTGAAAAGATTCTTGTAACCGGTGGTAAAACCTTTCAAAATATCTTTTTGGTCAAACAATATATCACTATCATCATGAATTTAATGAATAACATTAAACTTTCTCTTCCAATTAATAATTTTGTGAAAAATAGTTGTATTCTTGTTTTCCTCCAAGAAACACACAATTTTTAATGTGATAATGGAGATGCATGCAAAGAAAAGCCAACCCAAACTGAAAGAATAGCAAACTACGTATTAAAGAGTACTGTTTTCCTGATGATTGGGCGTGATACTGTATTCTTTAGCTTATAGTTTTTATGCCTAACTATGGAAATAAATATCATTATATTGTGAAAAGAAAAAGGATGCAAATGGATCAATAGCCTTAATACTATCAGAGTGTAAAAACAATTTTAGAAGAGCATCTAGTTGTAAGAATTATGATCTTCCTCCTAACATATTGTTTAATGATCTTAGGAGGCAACTACTTTAGCTATAGAAGAATAATAAATAGAGCTAAGAGAATGCAAAGAAGAGAAATCATCCTTGATATGCAGGATAGAAGGGCAAGAATTGATATGAACGTTGAATTTTTAACATCCAAAACATTTCTCTACATTTCTTATATTTAGATGCTTGGAGACCAACTTTCAAACATGTAAAATAAGAGATAAGTGATTCATAAACTGTTGTAGAATTGAAATGAAAAAAGAGATGAGATAGAATGGGTGTGTAAGATTTTATCCCATCAATAAACATTTTTTGTTATTGTTCAATTTGATCCATGTAGAATATCTGAACCCACGAGTGGGACGAAGGCTTGTTGTTGTTGTTGTTGTTATTCAACTTGATCCAAGGAGAATTACAAACATGCAAGGTCCTAGAAGAAGCCTTATTGTTTCTCTTCCATCTTTCCGAGGCATCTACCTTTTTCTTCCTCTTCCAAATTATTGCATTTCTTCTTTCTTCAATTAAAATTGCTGAATTTGGAACATGATCCCAATGCTGCTGTTGTAGAATTGGCCAATACTATCGATGAACAACTTGAAAGATAGTGGCTACTTTTCGATCATGAACTCAATGGAGATGGCGCACAATTGATGGATTTATTATTACTCCAGCAAAAGTTTGAAATTTGAATGAATGAAAAATGGAAGAGCCAAGTTGTTGAAAACATAGACTTAATGTGTTGGGAGTTTATCCCGTAAAAGTTTTGTGAAACTTGGGCAAGATATATTAAAAGAAGGTATGAAAGATTTGTGTTGAAGTATAAGGATATGATTGGACACTATGCAATTCAACTTCAAAGTGAAGCTTTTGTATGTATGTGTGTATTTATATACACATAAACATACAAACCATATTTAAATACAATTTTACTCTTCCCAATTCATTTTAATCATAATGAGATATAATAAAGTTTGAAGTTTAGCCATTCACAGCACAAAATACTTTATAAATTCCATAATGAGTATGAGTTTATTGCAACAAATGAAAAGAAAATGAATAAGATATACCTTTCATTCTTTAGGTTATGGGTGCTACCTATCAAAGAAAAAATGCTTTTATTTTGATTGCATTAGTTGTTTCTATTTCAATTTTAGACCGAAAGTTGTTTGATGTTGCTCACCTAGCCCAAGGTATTAGTAAGTAAACCAAATAACGTGCTAATCAAATATAGTTAACTCATGGCATGATTAGCCTCAATTGTCTGAAGAGCCTTCAGGATGATGACCTTTTTTATGTTTTATTTAATAAAATTTGTTAAGGAGCAACAATTTAAGGGGAGTTAGTTTTGGAATCTCCTCAACATTGTTACACAAATTAATTGATTCATACTTAGATCTATGTTTATTATTTGGAATAGGCATTTGTTGTAATCTGTCACAATATTTAATGATAGCCATTTGTTTTTAAAGCAATTTATGAATTTAATTCCTTAAAAATTTTTTGGCGCCTTTGCTAAATCCAGGATTTGCTTTAAGTTGTGCATTTGCCTTTAAGTATTTTTGCGGAATTTTAAAAATGTTTTTGAAATCTATATTACTAAACTTAGGTGGTTCAAATCATAAACATCATTATCCTTCAATTTATGAAGTTATTGATTCACTGAGGATGATGCCTTATAGATTAGTAATTTATTTGGCATTTTAGCCAATATAATTTGGATGCTCTTTGTTGCCTTAAAGTTGAACACAATTACCGGAGTAAGCCCGTCTCTGTAGATCATGTACATTTGACATACTTTGACCCACCTATTTTTCCTTTTATTATTTAGATATTAACACCTTACCCCTGTTTTTTAGGGAAGATGCATTTCATTGATATTAACACCGTCATATCCATTGCTATAAAAATATCATCATTATTCCTCCAACTTCATTTAAAAATATTAAATATCCTTTAAAATTTAAGAACACATTGTATTGGCCTCCGTTCTGTTAACTATTACATATGGTTGCTTAAAGAACATAGAGAATCCTTTAGAGAACTTGAGGGAAAATCTCTCATCTCATTAATGTGTGATCTAATCGCTTTCCTACCTGAATTTGGAGGACCTAATTGTTCTTTGGTCCAACCTCAAGAAACCTACGTCTAACTTCAGCTTTATTTTATGAAATATGTCACAACTGTTAGCTTTAATATGTGAACCAATAATATTTCCTTTTGCTTATGTCTTCAGTTTCGGGAGACCTTAATCAGCTTGGGACCTTTCTATACAAAGGTATATCCAAACTCTATCAATATTGTTCTTTTAAATATGCTATTATCAACTCAAGATGCTAATGGTTTATTCATTAATCCTGCAATTTAGTTATTCAAAAGGATGCTTTCCTTGTGTTAGTTTTTTCTATAATTCAGACAGAAAGTCCTCTTTCATTTATTGCGGCCTTCATAGTGTGCCAAATGCCATCCACGAAAATTTCTATTGATATGAGTCACTATCATTGTTTTGAAAAGTTTTCCCTGATTGAAGCTTGTCAACATTCCTGTACCTTTGAAACTTTGATAGTAATGTTACTACAATTTGAAGACTTCTAGGCACTAGTTAAGGCTTCTCTTTTATATTCTCTACTAATTGATACTTCATTGCACCACGTTCATATATATTACATGTGGATAAGATAATATCTTGAGTAATATAGTTGATTATGTAAATATAGATAGAAACTCTTACATTTGTTTATATGTAAACTAACTAGAAGCATTTATACTTCATATTGGATTTGTAGTTTAGATAACGTATTATGTGTAAAACAAGCGGCATCCAAGGGTTCATGTATCATACTTTTTGAACATCTGTTGCAGTTGTCATGTCTAAATCATGTTATATCATTTTTTTTTTCCTTATGTTCATAGCAGTGCAGCAGAGATTTTGGTGCTTTATTATTTGGAATTTTTCCCCCTCAATGCATCTCTATAGAAGCACGTGTTAACTTCATAGTAAAGATTTTGCAATTTTCAATATTGTTGCTATGACTGTCCAACAATTCTTGGAGAAATATATATTTAATTTTCTTCAGGTTAATTTGATATGTGAACTATTTAACTCTTAGTACATTAGTTGGATGGATTGCATTACAAATGCATATCATGAAGTTCTAAGACTCCATATAAAGGACCATTGTCTACCTTAGAGGATGACATTTTACTTAATGTGCATGCTAACTGGAAGGTGTCTGTAATGCAATAATACAATTGATGATAGTTGTTGTAACTTTTCGGTAGGAATGAATGAAAAATTATGATTCATAAAGCTACCTATAAATATTTTGGATAAAGCTTATGCTGATGGATCTGCTTGTATATGATAAAACATTAATTTCAGTTTGTAACGGTTCTTCAATGGATTGTTCTCTGTTGTTGATTTTGGTCTATTGCTGTCACCTTGGGAAATCACTTAAAGTAAATATAGAAGTTATTGTGTTGTTTGTAATGTTTCTCTTATAAATTCATCAATTCTTACAGATGATCAGCGCTACCTCTAGATGTTTATTTACTCTTTAAATCAAACACAAAGTTGGTAAGTATTTTGACATTTTTTGTTGTAGCTTGGACAAGCACTGAGCACGCGGCCTGATATCTTGCCCAAGGCATATTGTCAAGAGCTTTCCAAGTTGCTGGTATTTAAGCTTATTTCTGTATTGTCTTGATTGTATATGAATGTCTTATTTTACTCTTTTGGTGTTTTCATTTGCGAAACAAGGTCTCTAATAAGTTCCACATCTTCTTTATTTTCTAAACTATTTTTGTGAACATTTTCCAATCATTCACCTTGAATGTTTCTTTGACACGGCTATCAATAGCTTGGGCATTGCTACTGCAGTTTTCTTTGACTAGTTGCTGCTTCTGGTGCTCTCTTTATTCCGAGCTATTGCTTTTGGTCAAGTTCAATTTATTTGGAATAATGGCCAATCAAGGTAAGATATTGACATCCTGGTACATTTTTGTTAAAGGAGAGTAAACTACTTATTCTGATGTCTGAATTAGGTGATGCCTAGTAGCAAGAAGTAGGTGTTAATTCAAACACACAAGATCAGTCTCCTTTTTATTACAAGAAATTAACATGCGATAATGCATAAAAGATATTCCGGTGTTGGAGAAAGGAGGATATATACTATGAAAATTTTTTAAATTTGAATGAAATTGTAACGTTTTAAAGTTCTGAAATAGTATGATTTAGGTTCAATGCCATCAAGTGAGTAGAAAATTAGTCTATTTAATTCATCACAAAAATATTTATTATCCTTTATCATATTCATCATGATCATTAATTCGAAACCATGTATACTTTAATTTATCAAAATAAAGTTCAAAGTTTCTAATAATTATATAAAAAAAAATTTATACATATTTTATATTATGCACAATTCTTTTCTATATTACATCTTAAAACTGTGCATCCATCCATAATACCAAGATACATAATGATTGAGCAACCTACCTATGGTCCCACGTGTGCCTTTTCATCTTAAAAATATTCATCATAATATCTGATGAGCTAAACACCTAACAGGATAAACAGTTTTAATATAAGGTTCAAACATAATAATAATAATAATAATAATAATATGCATACTTTTTTCTGAACTAACATGAGCATTTCTGATTAAAGAATATAGCTAGCTTACTATAGTAACAAACTTTAAAGCGAGACTTGCTTTGATACTTAAATAATAAGATTTAATATAAGAAAATAAAATGCATGTCAAATATTAAATCATGAAGTTCTACTTATCAATTATTTGCACCATTTTCATTTCCATTGTTTCTCATTAATTTCTTAGAGATGTCATATAATGCATGTAGGCTTGTGACACATTTATATTATTAGATTGTCACCTGGCCATCGGCCTTAACAATTTTGATAAAGTTTGGACAGACCCTTCGATCTTAATGTTGAATTTTGTAGTATCAACTTTTTAGTATCGAGAGTTGGGAACTCTCTTATTTTCTTTATTTAGGTTCATCTTATTAGAACTTGTGCCTCGCAATGCGCAAGTCATCATAGTCTGCCAATTTATCTCACATGACATGACATTTCATTTGCTCCTTTCAATTTAATATAATTATTATCAACATTTAAAATTTATTAGCACCGATACTCACCTATTATTAATTAATGTGCTTAACATGTGTTAAGGGTAGACATGCTATGTAACACGTGTTAACATGTTTTGCACACTTATGCTTCACATCACTAATTGTATGAAGGGTGCGCCATTCATGCCTCATGCCATGACATGTGATATTTGTGTTATTGGCTAAAGTGATGCAGTGAGTTATAGAGAATTTAGGCTAATTTTATATTTTAATCATTAACCAATACATTCTTCATCAGACTAATTAAATTTTGCAATTAAAGTTAGAATAATTTAATCTCCAAATGACAATTAATTGCAATCTAGCCTAATTAATCCCTAATTAAATTTAATTAATATATTAAAAGATTGTTTATACTAAATTTTCCTAGTAATTAGTGAATTGTTATCCTAATATTAGGATATTTTATTACATTTATAACTAATTATTGGTCACTAAGTATACTTACTTATTGCCATATTTAATTGATAACTAGTTGGCCTAATTAATTTCAATTTTTAAAATTGGTATTGATTTATTATCTTTGTCATTAATTAATGGTTACCTTGCCTTTTAATCTGGTTAATCTAATATGCTGATTATAAAACTTGTTTAATTAATTTTTACTTCATTGATCAATGATTAATTAGGCAATTTTATCATCATAATAATTCAATTAGTTTTTAATTAGCCTGACAAATCTCCACCAAGCTAATCTTCTCACGAATTATGCTATTCACTATGTCTCACGTACAAAAGCAAAATTGAAGTTTACTTCCAACATCCATCGATTTAGACCTAGTTCTCACCTTTCTGAAGCGTTTCACAGGTATGAACCCATTTGCATCAACTTTCTACCAAACAAATGCTTAAACATGATTTGGAGCTGAGATCTGAACTGTTTCGGAACTTTAATAGAAACAAACAGATCTTCAATGTCTAGTATATACTCCAGCCCAATTTGTGCTATTATGAGTGCTGATCCATCTGCGATGCAGGTTGCACTTAATTTATTGTAATCAATATTATAACAAGTTCATGTATTATAGTCAGTCTATGCTTTTTGCAACCGAATGCTGTGGTTTTGATGTAGCCACTTTTCTGAAGTAGTTCTACCTGCAGGCGTTTGTAGTACCCATTTCACTACTTTGTCTATATGGGCCTACCTCTTGGATCAGCTACAACTTGTGCCTTTATCGTTGGCAATAGGTATAGGCTGTCACGACCCAGCTCGGAGGCTCTAATTAATGAGGCGGAAACAGACGGTCAGATGGTAGATTAGATTCTCAATTACTAAATCTATCTTCAATACACTGAAAGAGCCACTAAACTTAAAAAATGTAAACTGATATAAAATGATTTAAGTACCTTTCTTCTGGCGTGCCACATCTATGGTTCATATTTTCACATCTTCTATTCATTTTGATTATAATAAATTATACCTAAAAATGTTAGACCAACTAAAAGTAAGCACAACTCAGTAAGTAAAGCATGCTTCTAAATTATAGTAACTCAAAGCAATTGAAATAATATGCATGATTTTTTTTTTCATTTTATATCATAAGATAATTACCTTTAATCCTATCATTTCATCGAGGCTTTCAATATATATATATATATTTCTCATTTCTCATAAATAATACAACCGTCACAGGACCCACCGTCTAATTTAATATCAATGAAGATACTCTTTTTTCTTTTCCTTTTTCTTTTCCATAATATTTTCCTTTTAACGTGCACGATACATTGCTTCCCTAGCCAATACTATAAGGTGTGTTCCATCACTCAATATGCACATGCAAGCGTAGTATATGATATCATTTCATTTACTTTCTATAAAAATGTAATTTATGACATATTTAGTTTTATTTGGTTCAACATGATCAATCATTGAGTATGAAAAAGACGAATCATAATCTAATTTGCTATAAAAACTTATAAACAATAAGCAGATATCAGTATCTTTCAATGCATTTAATTTAAGAAAGAATAAAATCATTACTGTAATTAAAAGACATGAGTACTCACCTTGAAATCGGATGTCCTGACAATTTGTTTTAGTCACCACTCTGACGCCAGCTTAACACCTATATAATATACTTGGTAAATATTAAAATTATTACATAAAATACCATTATTCTAATAATTAAAATTTCAATTATAAATTGCTTTCTCTCTCTCCTATTCTATATTTTTATTTAATTAATATTTTCTATATTATTAATATGTAGCACTAACGATTCAATTCCTTGTTTGTATAATTCATTTTCTAATTAGCATTTTCAATTAAAATTCATATTTTATTTAAATATCATAATATCTCAAACTTACTATCTCTCTAATTATTTGCTTTAAAATCTTAAATTTAAATTTGATTATTATTATTATTTCTATATTCGATAAAATATCTCATTTCTTATATTATTTAACTCACCAAAACGTTCCTTCCTTCTTTGAAATTCTTCCTTTGTCCACCATTGAGCCAAAGTTTATATCACTTGGATTCTTCATTCTTCCAATAAAAAATCAAAAAATATTTTCTTTTTATTTCATCAACTAAAGAAACGAAAAAATGAAAGTATATAACCTCAAATAAAATCACTTATTTTAGAAGGAATTCAAAAAACCCAAATTCTTTTTTTTATTTTTTTTATTTCCAGATTTTCTTCCCTTAAACTTTAACTGAACATTCATCATTTCTTAGATTAAAAATCATATGATGTTTTGCACATAAATTAAAAAAGAAATTTAATGAACATACCTTCCTCTTTCTTCCTCTTCCTCTCTACACCCTTCTTTCGGTTTGCTTCTTTTGTCATAACAATGAAAAAGAACGAGTGAAATGAAGATATGACTCCCAAGGTGTCGCTACTTTTTGCATTCAAATGCATATCCTTGCCCAATTTTGCGATTCGACTTCTGCCCTATGCTTCCGCTCTCGCGGTTAGCCCGCCTGCTTTGCCCATTTTATTAACTAGCTGGTTCACTTTAGCCGGCCAGACCGGTTCTTACATAGGCCCTTTGATTTAATGTTCTGGAGTTGAGCTAAGCATTGCTTCCAAATGGATGGTAAACCCCTGTGAGTTCAGGTTAAAGTATCAAAATCTTTTTGAATATTGGCTTTTGTGAAGCTCCTTGGATAAGGGAATTCGTGGCTTCTAAGTTCTAACAAGGGAAGCTTTGTATAACAATGAAGGTTTCTTAAGCCCAGAGTCTTAAATTTAGACTGAATAGGCCCTGAAAAAAAGGGCCCAATGTATATGGACATGACTTGTTTTTCATTTCCCCAATTATGTTAAACATACTTTGTTTCAGCTATAAAATGATGTTGAATAGTTGGGATAATGGTGATGTGATGATGATACTTAATTGCACAAATAATTTTACTGACTTTGATTAGAGGTTTCCCTCATAATAAACACTATATTTCCTAGACTATTTTGAATGATTATTACCGCCTCTGTAAATTATAAAACCATAAATTAGGCTATAATAATGTGGCTAAGAAATTAATCACTGAATTAATTCATCCAATTCATCCAATTCATCATGATTTGCCCTATACATTGACATGATATCCTAACATTAGTTTATAAGCAGGATCAAATACCCCCATTTCCTTCTCATATTGCAATCAAATCAATTGAATCTCAGCTGGGAGCACCAATTTTTGATATATTTTCTGATATAAGTCCAGAACCCATTGCGGCTGCATCACTAGGGCAAGTTTATAAAGGTTAGTGTTTCCCATTTTTGTCAATGTTTGAGTTATACATATTGTTTCTATACTTGTTGAATATCATCAATTCTCTCTGCATCTAAATGCATTCATTTGATATGTCAAGTCATGCAGCTCATCTACTTTCTGGGGAGCTTGTAGCTGTCAAAGTCCAAAGACCTGGTATGGCGCTCACGCTAACCCTTGATGCTCTGCTGTTTCATATGATTGGGGGGCAACTGAAGCGCTTTGCCAAGGCTAGGAAGGATTTGTTGGTTGCGGTTAATGAGATGGTTTGATAACAATTTCTTATTTTATCTATCTCTATATATATATATATATATATATAATTGAATTGCTCCTTGAATAGTCTCAATATTTTGGACTTGGTCATTTGGAAGTTGTAAGTGCTAATGACGTTCAACTTCAACCTTCTTTATACTAGAAGCTTTTTATCTAATTTTACACGGTATTTATGCCCAGATCAACCTTTTTTCTGTTAAGACTCTATGTTTATGTAGTGTTGCAGACTATTCTCTAATATATGGCATGGGTATGATCATTTGATTTGTTAGAAGCTAATGGCTAAAAGTACACTTAAGTGTGCTTTTGAAGTGAAATAACGTGAAGCACAAAAGAAGTGCTTCACTTATCTCCCAATACATCAAGTAAAATAAAAGTGTGCTCTGTGTTGCCCAAAATTTGAAGAATTTCCAAAGAAGTTAAATGCTCATATTTAAAAATTATTCTGAAGGCCCGTATTTTGATTCATCAAGCGACCAGATGACACAATACTCTAGGGTTCTATATTAAAAAATATCTTAGATTTGTCGTGATTGTAAGTTATGACTTACACTTGGAGGTAACTTATTTTACAAATTTTTCCCTAAAAATATTCTTCCCAAGAAAATATGATGCAACAATGACGCGTTGGAAGATACAATGCTGGTTTTAAAATGACGGCATTCTTAGTTTTCTCAATGATTAATGCTTGATTTTTTTTTTTTCATTTTAAAACTTGACATACTCGGTTTGTAAATGTTAGAGTATGTTAACAATATTAGGCAAAATACATGTCATTACCATTTTTCTAGACACTTAAGCCTTGATTTTTCTAATGTGAAATTCCAAACTTCTGATCAGTTTCAAACTAATTAGCATCATATCAACATTTACATTTAAGAATATTTAGGGGCATACTCACAATCAACTACTGCCCAAGCCACATTAGATTTAATGCTTTGGCTCTATACTACATACCTTGAGTCCCTATTCCTCAAGCAGCTGTAGTTATTCATCATCTTTGATGTAGTTAGGTGTTACCTCTCAGAGTATATGCATTTGGAGGCTGTCGTGAGTGCAGGTCAGCTATTAGGGTCAACTAGGCCTCTTAGCTTGACTTTGGTGTGTTGCTTACTGTCTGTGTAATAGGCAAGGCTTGATCCAAATGGCATGTTGCACACACTATATTAAGCCTTTTGATACTATATGTGCTAAGCCATTCTTATGATGTTGTTAGAGATGGATATGAATTGCCTATTTAAGTTACAATCTATGACAATCGCAATTAAATGTGTTTAATCACATATACCCTAGTCAGTAAGTGTGCATTCAGGTATAAACTTCATTACAAACGCATGAAGTATTCTTTTGAATTTTTGTGGTGTTTGTCTTGTGGAAAGAATAACTTTAGAAATGTGGTGGTAGAGATGTAAGGATGTCTAATGGTTGCAGGAATTGGCATTATAAAATTTGATTAAGTGTTTATCAAAGAGGGTGGGGAATACATATAGATTTTTATATAGCTCATGAAATAGATGTAGAACTATCATATGAGGGTTCTTTATGATGAGGATGGTGGAAAAAACTTTGCTCGTTTGGTTGTTCTTATGCTGTAAGCATGAGGAATGATACTTTAAGGAGTAAATTGCGTACAATTCTATTGATTTGCTTAAATCTTAACTATTTCCACCAACTTTTCTAGATTCACTTTGAAATCCATGAAAGTACCTAACGATCTTGTAACTCGATAACTATTACCACAATACGCCCCAATATCATTTTTGAATTTATAACCTATACAACCACATGTTATTTGAATGTTGGTAATGGTAAAAAAAACTTGGGGCTTTTGCAGAATTTTAAAGATAGATTTTACATTTTTTTAATAAGAGCTTCTGCAAAATGTGGCCCTATAAAACAGTTGGGAATTCACTTCATTACTGAAGTGCATATTGCTTCAAGTATTGGCTTTAATTCTAGAATATCTTTGGTTCTATTGATTTTTACATGTTTGAATAGATTGGTTGGCTTAGAGCAATGGTTAGGTTGCTTTCATTGTGAAATTGAAGTTATGATCTCAAGTCACTCGAGCAACCTCTTTTGAGTGTAGGGGTAATGTTGCAAACACCCACTCTGATCTGTTTTGATATTGCAACCATGCTTTGATTAGATAATTACTTTCATTTTTTATTTTTATTAATCTTTAACTTGTAATTGTCGCCGCCGCTTTTTTAAAATGATTACTGATATGAATTTTGTTACTATCTTTTCTATTTTCTTTTTGTTTGTATTGAGTTGTGGCATATTAAGTGTGCAAGTGTTTTCTCCTAGCCCTTTTTAGAGGAATTAGTTTGATGCCAAATTCTAAGTTTCAAGTCGTATTTTTATGATTCTACATATTATTGTTGCTCATGTCCCAATAATTTCATATTATTTTGGCTTCATCATCTAGTTTGATACTTCATACACCTTGACTTGTCAATATAGTTGTTCTTAAACTTTGCTACTTGTATAATTAATGTATGTAAATATTAGTAAATATCCTTTTAATTAATTGAAGTGCTGCTTTGCTTTGCACTGTCCTTTGACAAGAATCAGTGTTTTCCTTTATGCATAGCACAGTGGCGTTGAAAACATGTTCGAATAGAAAAGGTAAAAGCCCACGGTACATTTTACATCAATGGTAATAACCTGCAGTTGTATGTACTATGTACAATAGTCCATGTGGAAGCATTCTAAAACTGCTTCACTCCGTTAGCAAAATTGGGGCATAAGAATATTATATACATGAATCTGAGTGGAAACAATAGCAGCATCAAATATGTAGTTTTTGACTTTACCTGAATATCTTCAATGATGTTGGCGGGTATTTCTACACCTCTCCATCATCTGCATTGCTAAGCTAAAAATTGTAGTTTAAACCTTTGCTTGGAAAACACTATAAAATTCTTCAGGGAGGCAATGCCACAACATCTGACAAGTGATTCTTGAGAAGGGGTGTGACAGTATAATTTTTGTATGGTGATTTGAAAACTTTTCATATTGTGCAATGGCCTAATTTCTGTGGAAATTAGGGGCATGCTTTCACTTCAGGCTTTATCTGAAAATCATCACAGGACCCAAATAGTTGGGGTAAGCTAATGATGATATATCTCAATATTCTATTAAAAACAAGATATTTTTTGTGAACATGAAAGTTTTACTTTGATTGCTCTTTTGCATTTTGTTTATCATGATGAAAGTGCACCATCACGCGGAGCTTTTGATTAAAGGACTGACTTGACTTCAACGCATAATTTAAGATCATGTGTTCAAAACATTTTTATTTAATTCCCCCTATGATCTAAAAAGTTTTCAGCTTTGGTTCTTTTTATTTATCCAAATACAAAAACCAATTTTTATTCACTAAATGTTATGTGCCGTACAAAATTTTGTGGTTCAAGTTTTCAAAATGTGATTGATTTTAAAGTGTATTTTTGAAATGCTTGGCTCCTTTTTCTTTCTAGTAGCATTTATGATTATGTTATTTTATAAGGATATTAATCTAGTAGTCTTCTATGTTGTGCATGCATTATTCTTCTGTGTTTGCTAATTATAAATGTTGAAAATGATAGGTAAGACACATGTTTGAGGAAATCGATTATATTCTTGAGGCTCAAAATGCTGAAAAGTTTGCTGCTCTATATGCTCTTCCCTTGAGTAAGTTTTTATACATTTTTAAGCTTTTATTGTTAGACGTGTACTGCCAATTTGAATCGTGATGCCTTTTATCTCAGATAACAATTTATTTTCGTATTAAAAGATGCTTATAAAATGTGTGGTTTTTGTTGTATAGCTGTCTCTTGTTCTAACAAGACATGCAACTTTCTAAGCTCATGCTTTCACAGAACATCTTGCAAAATGGAGTTGGCATCGCACACATACTAGTAAGGGATAATCTAATGATGATGATGTTGAATGTGGTGCAACTATTGGAGAACACACGCTATGCCTTAAATCAAAGAATTTAACAATATAATTTATTCAGAATGATAGAAAAAGGCAGTATATCATTTTAAATGTTTTCTATCGAATATTATCTCTATCATCTTACAGAATTAACTATAAGCAGAAGCATTTTCCAACACCTTCTCATTATTATGTAACATCAGAACAATACCCCATCCTCTATTGAAATTGTTATCATTAATGCATACATTACTTATTGTACTTTTATGAACCTTGATCATCCATTCTCAATTGATTAATTTGATTCCATGAGAATTGAGGTGTGATTTTCTGAACATAGTCCCAAGATGTAGACTTTAATGCATGACTTAGTCATGTTATTTGGAGTATGATCGATATTTTTATGGGTAAAAAAGTGATGTTTAAGTTGACAATGGTCAAGGCACTGATCTTTTTCATTTTTAACATATACTTGATGATAGTTAAATGGGCATGAAAGTGGATTATACTCAATCCATAAGTACTTATAACTTAAATGAAATGAAGGTGTGGTGGAGGATTTTAGATGATGGATAGATTTAAAATTGAATTTAGGTCTCTTTTATTTCTAGCTATAATGTAATTAGTTTAATTAATTTTGTTATCTAACATATTATTACATAACAATAGTCAACAAGGGCAAAATCAGCTTTACTTTTGAGGGTGAGCAAACTCAATACATGAATAATTAAAATAAAATTGATACACTATTAAAAGAAAACTATATTATTTTCTGCATACCCTTTTCTCTCATATATTTAAGTGGTTTCAAAATGAACTCTACCGATACAATAACAATGTAACAACCAACAATATATCATCCATGGTATGGAAAGAAACAATTGGAAATATTACCATACTGACAAGAAAAAAAAATCAAAGCCCCATTCATTCTCATGGTTAGAACCTTAAATAACAACGCTAGGTTTCAGAAAATAATTTCAAATTCTCAAAAAACCTGGTCCATCATTAACCTTTGACAAAAAGTGTCAGGGAATCTAATCGCTTGCCAGCCTTTTAAAAATAAAATAGACTCGAAAGAAAAAAAAAAATCTAGCCATTACCTTATTTAGCCTCGCTCATCGCTTAAATATTTTTAGCCTCCAGATTTCTTCTCCTTCAAATGCTAGGGTGAGCTGTGAGGGGTGCGGCGTGAGAGTAGAGCAGGAGAGACTGAGATGGGGGCAAGGTGGCGTTGGAGTAGTGCTAAGAGTTAGGGTAGTTTTTTTTTTTTTTTTCATTATGGGCAAGAAAAATTATTGGGCATACAAAATTACTAAATAACCCAACATATTAAGAAAACTTTCATCTTTTTAGAGCAGGCAATTGCCCACCCTGGGTTGTGCATGGGTTTTCCCTTGATAGGCATTAAGATTTGTAGTACTATGCCATATTAGAAATTTATATTTTCATCATAACCTAGCCAAATATATTTCAATTTTTTTTGTAATTAAACTTATTACATCTCAGAAAATGCAAAAACAAAATGGTGGCAAACATGATCTAGGCTTATTGAACATAATTTTTTTCACAGTAGAGCAATAATAATACTAATCAACTAATGAAGAAGAGTAACCATGCTTGAAATGACAACCTGCAAGGTAGTGCTATCGGGCTAAACTCCACATTGCAGCAACAAAACCTACTGATGACAACCAGTAGCTCAAATAAGTCTAGTGCTGAGCATAAATAGGTTCATATGAAGAAGTGCAAAAGGTTTTATTCTTTAAGGGGGCACATGCCAACTGCATTCATTTTGCTGGTGAAGTGTGGTAAATTGCATTGTGTTTTTTTATCGTAGAATTTGTATTATTTAGAATTTCTAGTGTTTTTTTGGTTGGATGAAGTTTAAAATTTTTTGTGAATTTATCAGCCTATATTTTGAAATGTGAATTTTCAACGTGCACATTCTTTGCTCTCTTAGATGTGATTTTTATTTTTAAAATCTTTTGTTTGAATGGATGTACTTCAAGTTATTGAATTTCCTAAATTGCACTTTAATCGGATATTGTCAGAACATGATCAGACTCTTTTGCGTCGTTTGATGATTGCTTAGTACTTTTTGGAGCTCACTTGAATATGGCATAACTTCAATGGAGTTGGCTGAGGCTTGCTAGGGTTCTTCGTTGTATGGATTGAGGCTACTAAAGTTCATTGGAACCCAGTTGCGTTGTCGAGTGGTTGGATCTTGCCGAAGCCCAAAGAGCTATGGCGGCCTCTTTTAGGGGTTTTATGGACTTCAAAATTCTTATTGATTTCTTATTGCATATAATAAAATCATGGAATCTAGCAAATTCTGTTTTTTTAATATCTTTAATTTATAACAACCAAATGAGCCCTAAATGGAAATCATTTTTCAGTGATCATGTTGATTATGTTTTGGTTGTTCTTGCATATTTGATAGTGTAAAAGTAGCTTTAACTTTTTTATGATTTCTAGGTTTTTCAAAGATGACACACAAATGAAGAGCTTAGAATAGAAGGGTTAATTTGCAAGGGTTAGATAAGAATTGTGTTTTGGGTAAATTGATTCACTTTGTTGCTCATTATTGAAAATCATACTTATGGGTGCCTAGCCTTTTTTTAGACTGTCTCCAAGCTATGTCCTCGGTCTTCAAAGTGAGGCCACATAGATTTTTAAATTTGTTTGCTACATCTTCCCACAAAGAAGACCAAATAATCATAGGTTGCTTCGCTCCGATTTTAGTTTTGAGATTATAGAATAGGTTTTCTAAGTTATATTCAAATTTATTGCAATTTTAGGCAAATTTTATTTTCTGAGCCAGTAATCACCCTGTATTTTTCCAGGGTCTGCACTTTATGAAATCAACCCAACGTCTTGAGTGGATCAATTGATGGTAGCCCTTATTGATATAACCTCATAAATGCACTTGCTGCAATGAAATATAGTGTCAGACATTTAAAAAAAAATAGTGTCAGAAATTAAAATTAATCTTAGTTAAAACTTTTTTTCCTTGTATCATGTTCTTCATATGAAGTTTCATTGCTATGATTTAAATGAAGACTTCAAAAAAAAAACTTTGAATTTTTCTTTTTCTTATGAGTTTATACAAAAGCTTGCACAAAGAAAGATTCATTAAATCACATTTCATTCAAACTAAGGTATTACATCCATTGCCACAGCCTTAAAAATGTAAAAATAGAAACACATGCAGGCTTATCCATAGATTGACCCTCAAACTTGCCCTTAAATAAATAATAAAATTTTTATCAAATGTTAACCTAGAAAACATCATATTCATTATCAGAAGCAAGGACCCAAAAAACATTTAATATTACAGCCCATAAAATAGGTTTATATAAATCACTACGATTGCTCTTTGAGAACTAATTTAAAGTTGTATCAGGCTTTCCTTGCACTTTAGGAGGATGTGTCATTCCACTGTTTCGTTGTCCATTCTTTCATGCCCCTTGATCCCTGTGGTCCTTTTTCATTTCTATGTTCCACTACTGCCACCATCATAAATAAAATAGTTTAATATTTTTAAACATAGTGTTGAGGAATACGTAAGTTCATTAATTAGTTATACTGATGTTGGACAACTTAAGGTTAATTTTACCCATGCAACTAATGTGATTTGTAACATGATTTCAAGCTAAAGTACATTAGTTGATTTATATATCACAAGTTTTGTGCGCTTGAGACGTTGAATTGAGGTTTTTGCTATTTAGCATTTTTAGTTTGATAACTCTAAGCTCAATTGCTATTATAATTTATATCATCATTAAAACAAGGGAGGCCATAAACCTCAACTCATTCACGCGTTTCTTTGTTTGGGAGATGCACTTGAGTAACATGCCCAAGCGAGAAGACATTGATCATTGCTTTATTGCCGTTGCTGCTCTAGTTGTGCCACTATTGTTGCCGTGATCCTTCTAATCCCGATAAGCATTCTCCTTCCTAATTTATTTTCTTTGATCTTCTCCCTTTCCTATTACTTGCTTTGGCCTTGAGTTCCTCAATTTAGGATTATCTGAAAATGATGAGAACTTGTAAAAAGAGTTCCATGAGAAATGCGAGGAATAAATTCACTCATTCAAATCCTGCATTTTCAGTCGAACTTTTCATATTTTTATCACATATCTTTGTAATCTTTTTTTAAACTGCTAAGGTTAAGGTGGATTGCTGATTATGACACTAAACTAGTTTATCCCATTATCAAATTGATAATTTTGAAATTTTTTGCCCCTCTATTTAATACTCAACTTTTCTCATATTTCTTTTGTGGATATAATAAACCACAAACAAGTTTGTGTCTTTTTTAAATATATTTTAAAATTTCTGCTTTTTTTTTTCTGGTAAATATATTAACTTTGGGCGGATGTGTCATACTTCTCCCATTGTATATAAATAACTATTGACAGTTGTCCAATGCATTACTTCTACTCATCATCAGTTTAACATTGCTTGTTATTATATTGATTGCTTCTCAGGAAGCGGTGAGAGCAAAAGAATGAGGCTAACGTCCATAAAAGTTCCCAAGATTTATTGGAACTACACCCGTAAGGCTGTTCTCACAATGGAGTGGATAGATGGGATTAAACTTATAGATTCTGATCGGATTTCCGAAGTCCGTCTGAATAGGAAACTTTTAATTGATCAGGTTTATACCTGAATTAACTTTTAATATGAATTCCTTTGAAGTTTATGGTGCTTATCGATGAAGCATTTGACGACTTGCTCATTAAACTGTTAGTCTGTTAGTCAATGTTCATGTTGTAGTTCATGTTGCATTCGTTTATTGTTGTTCTTTATTTTTCTATAGTTTTTGTAACTTTATCCTTGATTATTACGAGGGGTTAATATGGCAATGGATTCTTGTAGTATAGTTGCATCTTCAGTTAAGTCATTATACTGTTTTTGTTTTATCCTCAATATTACTATTTCAACGCTTTTCTTTTATAAAACAATGTCATTATACTGCATAACCATATTATACCCGTGCTTCTTTTGTTTGATCCTATTCAAAGAAGATTTCTTTGGTTGTTGGTGTTTGATTGAGAGTATTAGTAGGAGCCGGGAGGGAAGTGGAGGTGAGGGTGAAGGGACATAGGAGGTTGCAATTCCAATCTTACCCGATAATTTGATTGGTTCAACTTATATAAGCATGGATATTGATAGGAGCAGCACATAGGCACAGGTCACACCATATTTTGGAAAAATATGACGTTTCTACTGCATATAAAGATTTTTAATGTATAAAAAATATCAATGAATGCTTAAAAATGTGTTACACTATATTATTAATTTTGTAGATCAACTGGACATTCAAATTTTTGAATCAAGTATGAAACTTGATGTGCACGTGACATACTGAAAAATATATTTAGAGGCATTGATAAAGCGAATGAGGACGAGATTCATAATTTAACTGGGTACATTTACATTAGCAAGGCTAGTGTCTAACGTGTTCATGAATTTTGTTTGAAGTATGCCCATGAAGCTTCTATTTTTTTTTTCTGTACACATGGTTTATGGAGCTTGCTAAATGGTTTGCTTGGTAGTATCCTTTAGGATTCACCAGAATGAGGGTTTGGTGAGCTGGGATGAGAAACAAGTGGGCAACATTAGCTAACAAGTCTCTAAACCAACAGCCATGCTAAACAAAACAATTGGGAAAAAAAGAGAGAGAGATCAGGCAGCCTTAAAAAATGAGGTTAGGTTAAAGAGGGATATTTAGCATTTGATGGCTTGGGAGGAAGGAGTAGAGCAGATTTTCATCCAACGAACGATAGGTTTATATCCTGCAAATAGTAATATATTCTACCCCAATCTTTGTACTGTTGTACACATGAACGCATTGGCACATTTATAGTGAGGAGGAGAATGGCCTATTGATACGCTTTATTAATTTTCTTGTCATGGATGTCCATGTTTTATCTGAATGTATGTTCTTTAAATTTGATCGTTTTGGTATATTCCCAAGCCTATCACAACAAGACAATGGACGCTATTTTTTCTGATGCATTATTAATTTTAATGGAATTTCCCATTGTATCTGTGCATTGGTTTTTTAATAGCATTCCATACAAGTCTTAGAGAATTAGATGATTGCAAGTGTCAGTCTTTCCACTTATGGTTATTAGGGCAATCAAGTCTGCAAATGTTGGACACGGTAAATAAAATTTATGGCGTAGTTTTTTTTCTTTGTCTGTGGTATGAAAATTGCCAGGATAATGATAAATTATGTACACCGATATCCATATTAGAATGATCTCAAGATTACTACTTCATTATCCACTTATCTTCTAGTGTCCATGTTTTTATTTCTTCCTTGCTCATCATTTCAATGTCATGGAATATATACGTTTACATGATATGTTTCCTAAATGCTTTGGTGATTCATCATTTTAAAAGTATGATTAGTTAAACTCCACGTAGTTAATCATTTTTACAACTTGGTGGTTGGCTAGAAGATTAGAGTTGGTCATTGATTTTTTATTGTATTTCTGCAGATAGAAGGAATATTTATTCTTTTTATTGCTTGGTATGGCAGGGAGTTTATTGCTCTTTGAGACAGCTTCTTGTTGATGGTTTTTTTCATGCTGATCCACACCCTGGAAATCTTGTGGCTACTGATGACGGGTCTCTTGCGTACTTTGACTTTGGTATGATGGGAGATATTCCCCGCCATTACCGTGTAGGACTTATCAAAGTGGTTAGCTTTCTTTGCGCCATCATTCAATGGAACACTATTGTGCCGCTATGCCTTTTTTCAGTTTCTTAATTGACATCATGGTGGTTGTTGATGTACCTCAGCGATGAAGATTGTTTATGCTTGTATATGTGTAGCTTTCTTTAGCATTTTTTATGCAAGGTTATCGTTATGGAATTAGACTTGCATTTCTTGTAGAGGCATGCAGACTTCATGCATGCTTTCTTTCAGTTAACTGAGTTTTTTTTTTTTTTTTGTGGGGCAGGGCTGCTGCATTTTAGTCCAAGACTATTTAATGCACCCAATTTGGCCCTTTATTTTTTCAACGTTAATCCAAATTGATCCTACCTTTAGATTTTTTTTTTCGAGGTGATGGAAATTTCATATAGAAGGTAGGATTCAAGGGTTTATCCGTCTAAATGTATTTTTCTACATAAATGAAATTAGATATTGTTATACTTAAAAAAACACATAAGATGTTTATACTCTCTATTCCTACCTCTTGCATGTAGTTTGTCATCCTTAATAGAAATTCTAATGACAGGACTAGTTTCGATTATCTTGTGGAGGTAAGGGATTAAGACGTGCACATAAAATAACTTGGAACTAAAATGGCCGGCCACATGATGTTTGGGGACTATTTAAATGATTCTCTCTCTCTCTCTCTCTCTCTCTCTCTCTCTCTCTCTTGCTTGTGCATGCAAGTTTTTTTGATACAGAGTGATTTAGTTGGCAGGTTCTTTACACGAATATGGGGGTAAAATGAAGTTTGGGTTCTTTGTTGGCTTCTTTTGAATGTAGAATTCGCCAAGTTTTGGTAGGAAATTACTTTTTTTTCTTTTTTCCTTTTAGAAGCTCAATCTTTTATATTTTTATGAAAAAAATTTCCAGCCGGTTTGCTGTTTGTTTCACTAATTGTGGCAGATGAATAAAGAACTCTTGCAACTTTCAGCATTTTCAGTTTAATGATGGTGAATTCTGAAGTGGATACTGCACCCTAGCCCGATTATTTAGCTATATTATATGGCATTGTCTAACTTCTAAGGGATATAATAGTTAAATATCATCTTTTGCGCCTCTTTTTGAATCTTATGATCTGGACTGTTATTTTATTATTACAATGTGTTTCATCTTCTAGGTTGTGCCCTATATGCGAGCAATTCTGCTAGACATTTGATACGGATGTCATTTTCTATCTAGTTTTTTTGTAACATTATTATTCTGTATCTCCAGCTTGTGCACTTTGTAAATCGAGACTCCTTGGGATTAGCAAATGACTTTTTGTCGTTGGGATTTATTCCTGATGAAGAGGATACACAGTTGGTTGCAGATGCTTTACGTGCATCCTTTGACACTGATAGAAGACTTTCAAATGATTTTCAGGTCTCTTTCTACTTGTTCTTCATTTTTAACTGTTGACCTTTTTGACTCATCAAATTGTTTAGGTGTTTTTTAAACTCCTTACATATCGCGTGGCTTATCTTGCACGATATGTCTGGCGGTTTTGAACTATTTAATCGAACCTGGTGTAGGTTCATTAATTGGTTTTTCTCGTGTCTTATAGACAGCCATATAATGAAAGTGCATTCTGATACTGAAAGAGAATTAGACTTGATATTTTTGATGGACTTGGAAAGATTTCTATGAGTTTGTATACCAATGAAGTTTTTTAAAGAAGGCGTAGAAAAATCTTATGGATAACCAATTCTTATACAATTATACTTGTTTAAGTGTGGAAATTTGAGTTGTTGGTTATGGGGACCTTGCTAAAGTGTGGGGGTTTGAGTTATTGGTTATGGTGAGCCCATCCTTATTAAATTCTAGAGGTTATGATGCAGGACAACTCAGGCTTAATGTAAAGGAAATTGATGACTTATTGATTTAAAAGCCACTAATTGATTTAACAACTTGCTTCATATAAATACAACAACAACAACAACAACAAATCTCATTATGTGGGGTCGGCTACATGAATCCTTTTTCTCCATTGTGCCATGCCATTACAGGAAAATCGTCCATTACCTGCAGCAATTTTCAGCGGAATCTATCAATTTTCCGGCTGTTATGAAAAATTCCGGCGGTTTGAAGACCGCGGAATAAACCGCGTAGGAAATCAAAATCGGTGGTATATTTTCGGCGGTAATTTTTTGCGGCGGCTATAACTGCCGGAAATTATTGTTGCTAAAATCGTAGTTAAATTGCCAGAATATTTCGTCTCAAATACCGCAGGTCGTTATCGGCGGTATTACTGGCAGTAAAACCACCAATGTTTTCGGCGGTCCAACTGCTAGATAGCCAACCGGCGGCGAATAGAATAACTGGCAGTTTTATCACCCATCCGATTTCGAAGTTTCTATCGGCTAAATCGCTGGTTAGCCGCCAGAAATCTGTAGCATTTGTAAAAAAAATTGACAACACCCCTCTATCCAAACAGATTTCCACAAGTACCTGTGACAACTAAGGAGAACATATGCTCAGGCAGTTCAAAACATAATATATTAAATAAACTAATATACATAATCAATAGATGCTCTGACAGTTCAAAACATAAAATATATAATACACAAACTTTTAACCACAAGTAAACATAAAGTTCAACTTGTTAAACAATCTTTAAAACATAAAATAAGTACTTTCACATCCATATGTTCAAAATACGCCAACTAGCTCTTCAAACAAATAGCAACAACTAATCATCGTCCGTATACTCGTTGCCATGTGATTCAAGTATAGGTTCTTGCTCCTTTTTCTTCTGATTTTCAACTCGATATGTTCGCAGCTCCGCCTGCATCTCAGCTTTAATCTGTCTCATCCCCTCTATCTCTCTTGTGAGGACGTCAACCCTTTGATTGACGATTTCTTCAGCTCCTCCTACATCATAAAATGTTGAAGTAGATATACTGCCCTCATAAGCATATCCTTGTGAACCTAAGCCATAAACCCTCATCCTCTGCCTTCCTCCAACAACTTCTAACATAGTGTGATACTTAGAATATTGGGTTGATCCTGAAGACGATCCCTCGCTAGTAAGCTGCTTACTATCCCGAAGTCATATAAAATTATCCTATGAGAATAAATCCATAAAATAAAATTTTTATTTATTTCTCATTGTTTATCAAAAAATTATACTTGCGTGAGCTTTTCTTGCCTTCTCATCAACCCACTGATGATCAGCATGATATTGTTGAGTCCTCGTATGCAGCTCTAGTGGTGAAAATACTCTTTTTCCAAATAGAAATATAGTTAAAATAATGTACATTTATTTATGAAACTAATTGAAATAATCTTTTACTATTCGTCATCTATGCTCAATATGAGGCACTGAACCACCCGTATGAAGAGAGCTTCTTAAACCCCCACAGTCAGTTGCTCTATTTTACTTATTCTGCTCTCTCAATTTGGCGGACTCAGGGCTCGCCCAAGCTCTGCTCAAATTAGTCCATACTCCCTTGTCAATCCATAATGAATGTTGCCCAGACTTCTAATGTCTGTGAACATGTCCCTATGGCAAGTAGAGTCTCTCATCTCAAAATTTGTTATGATCTTCGTACCATACTCAGGAAATCACCTAAAAATTTTCTGTAAAACATAAGCATAAGAAATAATATTAATACAAATGAAATTAAAAATTTAAGTAATGCCAAATAAATATACCTGAAATTCTCTGAACCACATATCCCTAACTTCTTTTGGGATCTTCTTTCATAATAAGTAACGAGCATCATATTTGCTCTGTATGATGTCATGAATCTTATGGGTAGGTTGCCTCGAGGAATTAAAGTTGCTGGTAAAAATTTGAAGCAATCACGAGGAATATTCATGCAATTTTGATACTTAGCATCCCAACAACATCCGATAATTCTAAATGACTTTTGCAACCATCCCAAATTGATTTTTGAGCAGCATATAGTAACTCAAATATTTTTTTTGGTTTCTAGGTTTGGTGGCACTTCCATGCTGGCCCTTAAATTAGGACCTCATGTATCAAAAATAAGTACTTCATACGGTCTACTCATTTGATTTTCATCGACTGTTTCAAAAGCTGTGGATGGACCGGCATGAGTATCGCTATGTGACTTGTACTCGCCATATGATATCTAAATCCAGTATCCTAGAGCAAATCCCCTATGATATAAATCAACCTTTACATCGTCGGGCTTAAGAAAAGTTTGATTTTTGTGTTTCGAGCATGAACATCTAAATATTCGATCGGACTTAAACGAAGGTAGTTGACATGCGACTTGTATGAAAATCTTAACTCTCTCCATAAATTCATCTATCAATCTTTTTCGATCCGGTAATAATCTGTTATACATACAATATCTCTTTTCCTGGATAATCATTTGGATGTTAAAGTAAATGTTCCCTACATAGTTGTGGAATGAATTATTAAAAAAGGTGTCTTAAAGGTGTGATAAATGCATCAATAAGAAGCAATAAGTTGATTTAAATTGTAAATCTGTCGACATAACTTATATACCCGACGGTGGGGTGGGGGGGGGAGTGGGTGAATATTTCTTAGGATAGTTAGGGGAGGCATTTAGCCTTGCAACATAAAAGTAGAGGCATCACCCCAAGCACTAAAATCTCACCTCCTCATAATTATCAAGTAATAGGCTCAATGAATAATTTGAATTAAACCTGCTACAAATAACTTTGAAATCTATTTAAATAAATTTTGAATGAAAACAATTATTTTCTTTCTAAAATGTTGATAATTAAGTCCTATCAAATTTGTTTTGTTCCTATGAGCTCAATTAATCAATGAAGCCCTAAGATATACTTGTGAAGCCCTTTTATTTAGCTCAATTAACTCAACAACTCCCCTTCTACTTCCCACTCTCCTATTTCCTAATAGTCGTCTAGTGAGCATTTTTCCTTATTGACATACATGCAGATTTTCTTCTCCTTTTAGGCTTCTCATCTATTTTGGGTCCTATATCAACTCTTCCTAATGATATACCATTTCTCTCCCCATAAGCAAAAGAATATCTCGATTTGAAGTTTTAGCTATCAAAATATAATTTTTATGTTACAATTGTATTCTTAGTCAACTTCATGAATTCTTGAGATGATATAGTCAACTTTAATAAGCCCTAACCACAAAAAAATACAATCTTCCAATACAATTTGGTGAAATGAAAAGCAATCCTTTTGTAAGATTAAACAATTTTGGAATGCAACCAGGATTTATCTAAAAAAATTTTATTTAGATGAAATTAAAAAAATAATAATAAGGAGATGGAGGAGATGAAGGCCGGCGGGCGGAAGGTCGGCTATGCATCGCCAAGGCTAGGGCGGAATTCAGCGAGGGCGGAAGGTCGCAGGCGTTCTTTGGACGAACAAAACAAGGAAGGAGACTGAGGCTAGGGAGGAATTTGGGGAGGGCGGAAGGTCGCGGGCGTTCTCTGGACGAACCAAATGAGGGTGGCGAAATGAGGAAGAAGGAGAGGGGAGGTTCAGCTTTAGAGCACTTACCGACGGCATTTCTGGCGGTTGAAACCGTCGGAAATAAGTCACTTAAAAACGGCTGTTAACCCTCCGGTAAATGTGTCATGAAAAGAGTATATCGGCGGTTTGTCCGACTGTCATTTGACCGCCGGAAATACTAAAGATTTTTGGTTTTTTACCGGCTGTCCAACCGCCGGTAAACAGTGGCGGCCAAACCATTGGTTTCATCGCCAGAAATACCGCCGGTATTCAGTAAATTTTTTCTAGTGTGTTAAGGGTCAAATTCTCATCTAAATATAATAAAGAAAAGTCATTTCTAATATTTTCTAATCAAGTCTTTTTAGGTTTGTGAAGTAGAACGGAGGGGATGGGGAAAGATAATAAGATTAAAAATCTGAAATAAAATTTCAGATTTTCTCTAATCAAGGGATTTAAATTTTGAAATTCAAATAAGATGGAGTGAAGGATAAATAGGTGGTTAATTATTCCCCTAATTGAATTCCTTAACAAGGAAGGAAATAATTAAAATAGGGGAGAGAGCGGGGCCGGCCTAATAAGGAGGGAAAATGAAAGGTGTCCACATGCAATGTATGTGGATCCATGCATTAATGGGAGATTGGAGAGTTAAATCTGAAATAATTTCATATTTAATATAATTGAAGGATTTCCTAAAATAGATGTATGTTATTTAGGAAAGAATTTAAAATTCAAATTCATTTAAATTTGAATTCGAAAACTTTTTCAAATTAGATAAGAGCTAATTTAGGAAAGTAATGATGGTGAAATGAAATTGGAATCAAGGGATTAATTAATCAATCAATTTCGAAATTGATTAATTAATTGAATGAAAGAGGTTTCCAAAAATAAGATAATTAATGAGGATGGATTTGAAATTCAAATTAGATTAATTTGAATTTAAAATCTTTCCAAAT